AAAAAAAAAAAAAAAAGAAAAAAGAAATGCTTTGAAAAAAGATATATTTTTGAAGGGTGAGCATTTTTTGTCACATATTATATACAGATTTAGTTTTACCTTGCAAAAAAATATTCAAGTTGTTTTGATTTGATAGGCTACCACACAGGAATGCTGCATTCCTATAGAAATCTTCTTTCAACAATTCACATTGTTGATTGTGTTCGTCATAACATTTACCTATCTGGTCTCCCAGAGATAAAATTTTGGTTAACATTTGTCCTGCAAAATTTTGTCTAACACACTTTAGAATGATACAGCAAATCCACATTTCCCTCATCATTCAACTTTAGCATGTCATGAAGTTAATGATGCTTGTTGCAAATTGTCACTTAAAATAGCTTCAGCACAGCGATTTTGCTGATGTAAGATACAATGAAAAGAAATGAGAGCATCTGGAGCTGTTAATACTTTTTTTTTTCATCTGTGCAATCAACCCTTCCTGTTTTCCTGTCCTGGAATGTGCACCATCTATACATACACTCGCTAAATTGATCAAATTTGGTTCAACTTCATGACATTTACCTTGGAAGTTGTTGAAGTTATCTATTACCTGTGTTCTGTTCACAAAAGTGCTCAAAGGGAGTAACTCTTCATGGCAAGGAAAATCTATTATGCCCCGCATGAAGCATAAAACCTATGCTGAGTCAGTAGTATCAGTTGATTCATCCGAAACAATTGAATAATATATATTTTCCTTTTGAAGTGTTGCATGAAGTTGCTCTGGTAAGTTGAAGGCCAATTTGTGCGTCTGATCAGTTATGGTTCTCCTTGAAGAGGCATTTGTTTATACTTTGAAATGTTAGCAGGGGCTAAGCATCCTACAACTTCAACAATGCATTCCTTCATAATTTCTCTATCGCTGAACGGCTTCACTCTTTTCCCCCAAGTATATGAGCTACTTTGTAAGTTTCTCCAGTGCCATTATTTCCAGGTCTTATTGTTGCTTGAAAAAATTGTCTTTGCTTTTCATCTGTAAATTTCTGCAATACACCCTTTTGTGCCTCTCCCTCTAATTTAAAATAGGTGTGGTCTTTATGTGTGTTATTATGCTGAGGAGCACTGAATTTCTCTATTGTGGATACTGCAGTATCACAAAGCAAGCAAATCATCTTATCTTCAGCAGAAACAAGATAATATTGTAATTCCCAATCCTCATTAAAAAAATCTGTTTTCTTCCTTCAGTGTTCTCTTGGTCTTCTTTGACATGAAGGGCTATTAACCAGCCAGAATTAAAAAATACTGTCGAGCTGTGCAAATATTCACAAATTCTACTTCAAACAGAGATACAGTGCACTGTTGTCAAAAGCTGAAAAAAGACGGGCACACTGGACCCCCATAAACTCTCACCAACCAGCCTTGTGTGGTAGCGGTGCCAGTCAAGTGGGGGAAGTTAGAACTGAGTCATGAGTGTAGCAGCCATCAGGTTGGCCCTATGGCTTACTAATGCTCTAACTGTGTCAGTCAAGCTGGGATGACTATTTCATTGAAGCTTGTTTTATTCTTTGCTATTTTAAGTATGTTCATTTTAACATAAAATAAAAATATAAAAGATGAACAAAAACATATTAATAAAAATAAAAGGAATTGTTCTGTGAAATTTGGATCCTGTCAAAAGACCACACTTAAAAACCTGGAAAGCCATATGTGGCCCCCTGGTCTAGACCTACCCAGGGTCAAGATCATCAATATCGCTGCTTTCCCCTCCACATCTTCTCCCATTGGAAAGACTGATGAGTCACTGATGTGCATGAAGCTGTCATCTCCTGTGATAACAATGCCTTTTTCTGGAATGTGTTCTGAAGGATCTGCCTGAAGCTGTTTTATAAGGTAACTCTTTAAAAAAATAAGTAGGAGGAAGACACTCTAAGATAATGATACAAGTGTAGCACTATAAACATAAACTACTAATGTAGCCGTCTATGTTCCTTATCAAGTATTATGTACTGTATATAAATTGTATGTGCTGTGTTCTGGTGACTGGTAGCACAGTGGGTTCCTTTACACCAGGATCGCCACACGCATGTGAGTACTGCATTGTGCTAAGCAACAGGAATATGTCCATAGGCAACATGAATTTTCCATCTTATGGTTCCACCGTCATATACACAGTCCATCATGGACCAAAACAGCATTAGACAGCACAGGCCTGTACTGTGGAAAACATCTGGGCATCTGCTAATAAAGTCAAAGACACTCAACTCTGTGACCCGGCTCTTCTAGGCCTAGGGTATTGCAGAGAAATTCTGCAAGTGACCTATGTCTACAATCTTCATAACATTGTTTTTAATGGCACCAAACGGGAAATAATTTAAACATCAACTAAGACACCCCATGAATGAACTGCGACCCAGCTGTGTAATGCAATACTGCCATACAGCAGGGAGAACAAGAGAACCACAGCTACACCTGTCGACACGGATGGTTCTCACAAATAAAGAGCCATACAGTGTCGGCTTCCTCTAGTAAGCCACAGATTTCTTTTTCAAAAGTAGGTCAAATAAATTAATATGTTATTTAGGAAGTCATATATGTGGGTGTGCACATCTTTAAAATAAAGGCTGGTTCAAAAAATAAATAGAGCAAAGTTGGCAAACTCCAACTCTCAGACCAAATTTGGCCAGGTGCTTGTTTTGGCCTTCCCATTCTAAGTCTGAGGCTCTTCTGAATGGTGCCTGTTTTGGTACATGAAGCTTTGCTGGGACACAGCTGCGTCTGTTAGTGTATGTACTGTTTGTGACTGCTTTCTCATTGCCATGGCTGAACTTGAGCCCCTGCAACAGTGGCCATGTCTGCCCTGTGTAGAAAAAGTTTGCTGATCTGTGTTTTACAGGAAACCGGATGCCTAACTCAAATTCAGGACAGTGGCTTCCTCCACAATGGGTGTGATCAGAGAGGGGCTTCTAGTAATTCCACTAATTCCTGAGGGAAGGAGTTACTTCTTATCACAGGTGGGTGGCACACAGATTCCCAGCATTATTCTATAAGTGTACATACATGTTTCCCATACTTTTCTGTTTGTATGATGTAGTCTACAATTAAGAAAGGAACATTGAGAGGGATGAGATTGGTTCTGATTCTGGCAGTCACCCTGTGGGGACTGAGAACATTGCCAATCTGCGATTTGCACCCTACGTCTGTCCTCTCCTGCTGCTCTGGCATCAGCTTGTCTTGTGGATACAGGGAAACCCTTCTAGAAGGATGAAGCAGGCTTCGGTTCTAAAATTCTACTCCTTCCCAATGGTGTAGGATGAAGAGTGTCTTTAAAGTTTGAAAACGTAAAGATTTACGTCATCTAGCTAACTGAACTGCCAGCGTAGAAATCTCCTTATTAATAATATCCTGGGTGAATGGTGGCTCCCACCTGTTTGAACGCACGCCATACTGGAGGAAGGCTGGGATCACAAACGTCCTGTCCTGTGCTGTCCTGTGCTTATGGAGTTCTCATCAGGACCAGATTCTTCCACATCCTGCTCCAAACCTACTGCTTCTGTTTCTGACCACTGCTCTGAGCAGCCCCGTGTGGAAAGGGACCTGCATATCTCCTCATCTGAGCTCACTGGGGAGGGCTTGGTTGTGCATCTGGGGTCCAGGCCCACGTGTGGCCATGACAGCCAGGTGTGCACGTATCTGAAATCCACGCACCTCCTCTGATGACGTTTGCTCTTCAGATAGCATGCTATTAGAATGAAATCTCTGCCACCCCTGCTTCTCCCCGGGACTTCTGATTTTCTTTCTGGCGCATCATGTCACATACCCCTCTTCATAGGACATTACATATACTTATACTTCCCCGTGGTCAAATGCAGTGTCCAGCTCACCTGTAGAAATCTTTGATGAGGTTGTCATCATACCGAGCACACATGTTGTTGAGGAGCTGCTCGTGCTGCCCAAACAAGCGGATGTAGTTGGAGGTGGGAAAAGGCTCCTTGGAGAGGCACGTGATGGTCTCCACCATTTTATACTTGTTAATGTGAATTCGGAAGTAGGTCCCACTTTTCGCAGTGCCTGTTATTATTTCTGAACCCTGGTGGTAGGGAAGGGGAGGAAGATCAGACAAACATTAGAAACGTTTCTGGACATTGGCAACTTCCTCACAGCAGTTTGTTTTTCAAATGTAACAGACATACCTTATTGCTTGTTGCAAGTAACAGAATAGATATTGACTAAATTCAACAGAAGATTAACGATTAACAGTGTGTCAGAGCCACAGATGAGGACTTAATTACTAAATGTTCCTTGGGATATTTTAAACTGTGACTACATTGTTCTGTGTCTCTAAATTAGTTGCTAGGTTACAACCAATCCTGTTACTCCGTATCTCACTCACCTAATTCACAGAACTGGGTTTGTTCTCTATTTCTCTCTCTCTCTCAAGGTGTTTTAGGACTGCTAAATTTCTTAGTTTTCACATTATTTTGAGAAAAAACCCTAGTCAAAAGTGTTGACAAAGAATTTCGGTTATTTTGAAGTGCACTTCAACAAAAGAAACAAGTATAGGCAAATTCCTGATAGCAGGGTTTGGGGTGGGCCAGTCATTTCATAAGGTCTGTTCCTGGGAAGAAAAGTTCAAGGTCATGGGAAACACACATATTCTGCAGGTGATGTTTTAGTTTATAAATTGTTACAGGTGTGGATCTGTGACTTGATGCCCTTCAGAAACTGGCTAAAACTGCTGTCTGACCCCAAATGACAAGGAAAGATGATGTACTAATTCTAAGTCACAACTACTGTTTTTATTTCAGTCCCTGATGGCCACTGACCCACCAACAGGAGACTTGCTCCCCACTAGCTCTGGCAGCAGGTGGCTTCGTGGACGAACATGGGTTTTTGTTGGTGGTAACTGAACCTTCCCTCTACCCTTAGACTCTGAGCAGTAATACAGTAATGATCAATCAGTCTTGTGTGAGTGCAGGTAGATTTAAGCTTTACTCTGAACTTGAATGTGGCATTTAGAAATTCAAGGCAAGGTGGAATACTTCTCTAATCCCAAACATTTACTAAGTCCTGGACATGGCCTGGGGACTTTGTCAAAACAAGGACACATAGTTTAACTTTTAAATAGAGGCAACTGGTGGGTGTTTGAGTATCACACATCACAGCTCCAAGAAGGACTCAGCCAGGATGAGGCTCCTGAGAGGCCCCTGCAATTCTGGGCCACCCTGAGAACGAATGAGAAGTTGGATGTTTGGGGGCCGGGAAGGAACAAATGCTCGGTGCCAGCTTTACTTGATGGTATGTAATACTAAATAATATTTCAGAAAAAACACACATATAGACAGTGAAGAATTTGACCTACACATGCATTTCAGAGATTAAGTACACTGAAAAGAACAGTTAAGTTTAAAGCCAGCAGCTTTGGGTTTGGTCCTGACCCCGGGGGTAGGTGTTCCCTTTATGGTAAGGGACAGTGTGGTGGAAAAGGTGGGGAAACCCAGGGGAATGAGCATCGAGGAGGCAGTAAGGCGGCCGGGTGTCTGGGAGAAGGATGCCAGCTGCCAGCTTCCCCCAAGCCTCCTCCTCTTTACAGTTTCTTTATACTAAGCAATTAAGAAAAGGGAATCCAGGCTTTCAAGGGGCAAACCTTGAGATCCACCCACGTGGTTAACAGAAATTTGACTTTGTAAAGAGTTGCACTCGATGTCCAACCTTCAGCTTGCAAGGACTTCTTTGCGTGTAGGAGGCTGTTTGGATTTCACAAACTTGGCCATGCTGAGCAGCGCAAGGTGAGGCTTTGGTTATTTAGTTGGTCATTTAGCCTTCGCAAGGTCACAGGGGACCTAGCAGGTTGCCACTGAGGGTCTGAGGGTGAGGGTCTGAGCTTTACATGACTCTCCGACTCTGCCTGCTCCTTAAGCCGGATCATCAGCCATCAGCATTGTTTTCAATGACTTGTTGCCTTTTTTTTTTTGCTTGTGTTTTTAAAAGACCGAGTAACAATCCTTGGGTCTTCTCTGCCTGTCCTGCCAGCATAATCATGAGTATACAGTGATTAATAGCTTCGAGGGCAGGGCTGTTCAGTCTCTTTTTTTTTTGTCTTCTGCTACAAATTGGAAGAGTTAAGAGTCGTCTTGGGCCACACATTAAATACACAAACACTAACAATAGCTCATGAGCGAAACAAAAGTTCCGTGTGTTCATTTCATGACATCTGACAGCACCGATAATAAACAAAACTGGCCTCGAAAATCTGCATGCTGCCCCCGGGTCGCAGGTTGGACACCCCTGGAAAGAGTCTGGAAAGCAGGCGTGCGGTAGGGACAAAGCTGCTGGTAGCTGCGCTTCGCGAGGGAAGGAATGACATCCATTTGAATGAGGTCTGGCACTGTCTCAGCACCACCGGAGGGGCTGTTCTGGGAACTTAGAAGGCATAAAAATATTTTCCATGAAGTGAAAGGTAATTCACCTACAGAGGAGATTTTCAGACACAAATTACCCTCCTAGTTTGGGTCATTCCTCTTCTCAGTCGCTGGCAGATCAGGAAAACCCAGGGAGGCCCAGAATTCTTTCTGCTTCTCCTCACAGAAAATTGCTCCCCTGGAGGACGAGGTGAGGCCCCCCCCAGCCCTGCCACCCTCTGAGGGATTCAATGTCACACACTTTCCCATTTGGTGGGGTGTGTCTTTCTTGTATCTTCCTTTAAATATGTAAGTAAATTGTTAGAAAATCTGGATTCTGAATTTAAGGTTTTAATGGAGTAAATGGTTCTGGTGTGGTTTTTGTCATCATTTTTTTCCCTGAATACAATTATCCTTTTGAGTTCCTTTATGGCTTTGACAAAGGTTGGAAAATAGCTCTGAAATTCATGCCAAATGGAAGACACAGGATTAATCAGACTTAGTGTTCAAGAAATCAAGTTCCCAGCTCTCATGGTGAACACACAATTTTAAATTTAATGGTATCCAAGGCAGAATTTGTTGTGACAAATTTCTTTATTCTGTGGCGTATAAGCCAAGGAAGCATGTGGACTGGGATCTGTAAATTAGTTTATTATGTAGACGACTTGGGGTCCCCTTTCTTCCTTGTCAGGTTACTTCTCAAAGAGCTTATAAATTACTAAAGTATCCTCTTACCTAACTATTCCAATTAGGGAGTTTTATGAAAGTCTGACAAAATTCATCTGTACTACATTTATTGTAAAAATAGTAATTCAGTTTCTCTAGTGAGAAGTTCAATGGACTCCATTCTCAATCAATTGGCTATATTTAGGTGACTGCCTGACCATTTTGGCAAAAATTTTGCTTAATCAAATTAATTCCAAATCCAAAAGATTGCCATGGAGCCATCTACATTTTTTTCTTGGATAATAAAATGGAAAAAAATCTGCTTAGATCTTCTGTACTAATTAAAAAGGAGGCCCACCTGGCAAAATGGTTAATTAAAGTCAGGGTCCTGTTCAAATCCTGTCATAGCACCAGCCAAAGAATCTATTTAAGTTGCACTCTTATTAAAACTCTCATTATCTAGAAATCCCTCTTGGCTCCTCCTCTGACTTTATTCAGAGGGAGTGTCAGCGGTTCTTAAATAAATGACACCCGTGCAGGGAAGCGCACAGTGTCCATGAAGAAGCTGGTTCTGCCTGAAACCAAGTCCAACATTCTCTCTTGTACACATTAGACTCAAGTCACTTGTCTGTGATGACCAAAGGGCTTGGCTCAGGATAAACGTTTCTGATGCCCCACCCCAGTGGGGGCAGACTACCTTTTCCAAAGATGGCCACAATGATATCCCCTGCAAAATGACCTTGACAGTCTTTCCTCAAGAGGCGGACTCTCTGTCCTCTTCTCCTCTTAAATCCTGAGGGGTTCAGTAATCTATTGATGTATCATAGGTTATCACAAGATTTAGTAGCTTCGTGTTCTTCAGCAGGTGAATAGATAAACCAACTGTGACACATCCAGACAACAGGATATTACACAGCACTAAAACAAGGTCAGCTATCACGCCGTGGAAAGACACGGAGGAGTTGCACATGCTTATTACTAAGTGAACAAAGCTGATCTGAAAAGACTCCCTACTGCGTTAACCCAACTAAAACTACAGAACTGCTGAGACAGCAGAAAGGGTCGTGACTGCCAGGACTTAGAATGGGAGGAGGATGAATAGCTGGAACACAGAGGGTTCTTAGGTCAGTGAGACGGCCTCGTATGATACTACCATGGGGGATACACGGCATTATGTACTTGTCCACACCTGCAGGATGTATAGCACCAAGAGTGACCCTGACTGTGAACTATGGACTTTGGCTGATAACCAGGGGTCAACGTAGGTTCATCAGCTGTAACTGACACATCACTCTGGGAGGTGGGTGATGTCCACAGTGAGTGGATGGGAAATCTCTGCACCTCTGCTCAATTTTGCTATGAATCTAAAACCGCTCTAAAAATAAGGTTTATTTTAAAAATGTAATGGTTTAAAATGATAATAAACTTAGATTATCTCACTGTTTCTGGGAGGCAAAAGCTAAGAGTGGCTCAGTTGTTGGAGGTGGGGGGTTCTTATAAGTTTTCACCTAGACTTCTTGCTGGGGCTGCATCATCTGGAGGCCTCAGTGAGACCGGAAGATCTGCTCCTGAGGTGGCCCACTCATTTGTCTGGCACACTGATAACAGCCGGTGCAAGAGTCCTGAGTTCCTCCTTATCAGAAGGACACCTCCAAAGGGGTCCTTACAACATGGCACCAAGCAGCAAGTCATCTAGAGGGCTGCAGGTTGGAAGCTATAGTATCTTTTTTGGCTTAGCCTTGGAAGTCACATACTGTCATTTCCACAGTATCTGGCTGGCTACACAGGTCAGCTCTACTCCATGTGGGAGGCCATGCCAGGGCATGAGGACCAAAGGCCACCTATCATTGGGGAGGCCCCTTTGGGGGGTGCTGACAGACATAGGAAGTTTCTGATGTGTGAGACAGACACTGACATCTCTGAGTAAAGAATTTCAGCCTCCTGTGAACAAAGTTTTATCTTTGAAAGTAAAATGAAATTCAGAAATAATACTTACAAAATTAGGCTGCGCCATTACTACCTCCAAGGGAGACGGGATGGCAGGCTTGGCAATATGCAGATAGTGGTAAGACCCAGGAAGAATGCCTCCTAGAGGAGATGGCAATTTTCCACATTTGAAATTAATTGTTAACAAGGTGGGTAACAGAGCCTATATTTTCATCACAGGGAAAACAGAGTTGCCTAGAGCAACGTATGCTCCTCAAACCTTCCCACTCATGCTCTACTGACAGCAAGAAATGCCCTGGGGTGTTGAGCTTTATTTCCTCAAATCACTGTGAGTGACTGTGATAGCCCTGAATACAGCCGCCATGCCCCACGATGTGCCAAGCTGACCCTGGGTACATCCTGTGGTTACCCCCAGCTCTGGCACCCGATTCTGTACCTGACAAAACCAGATAGAGACCTTTACAACCCTTAAATCTTGCAATGTCATTCTCTTTTATTAACCTTTCTCTAATATATAACCAAAATATTAAAAATATTGAACTTAATAAGGAAAACCAACAAACATCTTTGTTCGTGGCTTTAGAAAAGATCATTATAAAATTCTTAGTATTTTTCACGTGTCCCTGAAGTCTGAGTCCGATCCAGCTGTGGTTTCCGATATTCCCTCTCCCCTCTTGCTTGCCCATGGTCACCCACCACTTTTCCCAAGGTCCCATCCAGACCCAGAAGCCAGCAGAATGTCACTGCAGCCATCTAGTTAGGAAGAGCAAGACAAGGATTGGAATGTGGGACTTTTGTTTGTTGTGTCTGGTGTTCTGCTGACTGCATCAGGGTCTGTGGCCTCCCTAGAGGTCTATGTGTAGCTTTAGGGGTTATCTCTGAACTCGGAAGGGAACATATGATTTTGTAAATATGTGTATTTTTCTAGTAGAAGGTCCACAACATTCAAAGGCGCCATTTTTAAAGATATTTCTTACCCTCTAAACGTGATGAAAGCTTGAAAGCTTGAGTCACTTAGGAAATCATCTCCTTAGGGCTCAGCAAGGCTTACAGGGTTAAAGTGGGCTGTTCTACCCAAATGGTTGCGCTTATCCATCCAGATAGGATGCTAAGGCCTGGGCTGCCTGGAAGCATCTCCTTATCTCTGAACTTGCAGTGAGAATTAAAGTTTGGAGCAAGAAAGAGATCAGGGTAAACCACCACTCACCAGCTGTGAGACCCTCTGGCAAGTTATTGTCATTCCCTAGACTTTTTTCTGATCTGTCAAATAGGGACCACAGTTAGGGTGTGGATCGTAATGAATGCTCAAAATAAAAAGGCTAATAATAATGATAATAATCATAATTCCAGGTTCATAATACATGCTTAGAAAATGAGACAACCCACTGTGCGCAACCCACTGAGGGACTGAGGAGCTTTATCACCAAGCCTAAGAGGGCTGGTCTCAACACTGACCCAGCTCCCACCTGTGGCTTCTTCACAGGGAGGAAGGCAGCCCTTTACACACCTTGGATCTTGGCTCCCTTGTACATGGGGATGAGCCGGTCGAGATCAGCTGGTGGCTCTGTCACAGGTTCCAGGGTTGGATCAAAAAGGCTGAGCATAGCTGCTGCCAGCTGAAAGCCGATTTCTTTGGAATTGAAGTTGCTGTGAGTCCACTCATTTGAGTAATATCTATTGGAGAATTTGGTGAGGGAGCCAGCGGCTCTGATGGCTATGTCGTTGGTGTGGAAGTTGGTATCAATCACAAGTCGACCGTCATAGACAAGACATGCATCATTTAATGCTTTAAAGGTTTCGTAATCCACATTCTTCTCACAGAAGCTGAAGAACATCTGCAAAGTGAACAATCCTGCCGTTATCAGTTATCACTTTTCCCAAGAATGCGAAAGTCCCCAGGGAATTTTATGATTAGAAATCTACCAAAACTTTGTCATAATGTATGTGCAGATGTGTGTGAGCACATGTGAGACAGATTGTCTTGGATATGAAGAACGACTAAGGTCACCAAGGGCCACTTTTTTATCATTCAATTGAGACATCCAGAGGATGACAAGTGGTGAAATATCCACCACAAGAATAAGATTTTCCCCCTTTTATAAAGACTAACTTTCCCTTCATTCTCCTATATTTAATTTTTGCTTATTTATTTATTTTGAGACAGGGTCTCACTCTGTTGCCAGCACTGGAGTGCAGTGGCATCATCACAGCTCACAGCATCCTCAAACTCCTGGGCTGAAGCGATTCTCCAGCCTCCCGAGTAGGTGGGACTACAGGCATACACCAACATGCCCAGCTAATTTTTAAATTTTTTTTTGTAGTGACAGCATCTCTCCATGTTGCTCAGGCTCGTCTCAAACTCCTGGCTTCAAGAGATCCTCCTCCCTCGGCCTCCCAGAGTGCTAATGTTACAGATGTGGGCCACTGTGCCTGGCCGCCTCCTACATTTTCAATACCTCCATCCTTCTTTGCCTGTGTCTGAACTTAGGTCTCTCTGGGTTCTTTCTTGGGATTCACTCATCCAGTTGTGAGCCTTCAGCATCGCCACCCCTGGCTTTTGAAACCGGAAAAGCTTGTCCCTGCAGGATGCCCAGAGAGGATGAGACCCCCCTCAGCCTCTGTTTCTGCCAGGGCTTGGATCTTGCCTTGTTGTCTTCTACCCTGCTATGGCAGACAGCTGTTCAAACAATGTCTACAGTGTACCTACCATATGTCAGGCACCGTGCCACGAGGGGCCACAAACTCCTCTGCACTCTTAGAAATGTCTGCACGCCCCTCTAGTCTCTGCCCAGATTTCAATGCTTTCTCATGCACATCTGGGTATCTTCTTCCATATTGATGTTGGAGGTCAGTAAAGCAGTCCAAGTTAGTTGTTTTTAAGTCTTTAGTTATTGTTGGAGTAATTGAAGTAAGTTCAATTACTTTTATCTTTACCTAAATACAGTTTGCCACTTTATTAAAATCATGCTAAAAAATGAACATAAGACATGGCGCTAATCATACTGACGGGCCCCTCCCCACTTCCATCGTATGCCTGTTTTACCCACATGTTCTGTTCTGTACAAGCATCAGCTGTTCTGGCCAGAGGTACCCTGTTTCCTTCCTTCACACCTACTAGCAGTGCAGGAAGCAGTCTGACCCTGTGGTAGCCACTTGTCACGTATGTTTATATAAATTTAAATCTAAATCAACTAAAATTGAATAAAATTAAAAAGTTAGTTCCTCCTCCATTTCGAGTGCTGAATAGCTATAGGTGGCTTGTGGCTGCCATGTTGGGCAGTGCAGATGTACCTATTTCCACCACCACAGAAGGTTCGATTGAACAGCTGGCCACCAGCCTGGTGCTGTCCTTCAGTCTCCTCTCAGCCTTCTCCCTGTCTCTGTGCACTCACTTGTCTAATCCCATTCCTGTTATTCCCAACCAGGCAGCTTCTTTCTATCAAGTCTCTTTAAAATTTTTTCTGTCTTTGAAGTCTTACCCGGTGACCAGAGGCAAACACATTTCTCTGAGTCTCTCTCTGACTCTGAATCTTTCTGTCTCCCTACACTCCTTTTCTTTCTATATATAAAAAAAGATTTCCCATATATCTATGGGGGAAATTATAGATTATAATCTATAATCTTTTAATCTATTTTAAAAGATTTCTATATAAAACATAGAAAGCCATTTGATTTTAATTTAAATGATACAGAAAAGCAGCAGCATCAACCTCTCGAGCCCTTGAAAATGTGTAGAAGATTACTTCAGCATCCCTACAAAAGTTCTTCTGCCTACCCAGTTTTCTTTTTCTTATTTATTTTTATTTTTTTGAAACAGAGCCTCACTCTGTTGCCCAGGTTAGAGTGTCTTAGCACCATCATAGCTCAAGGCAGCCTTACACTCCTGAGTTCAAGAGATCTTCCTGCCTCAGCCTCCTGAGTAGCTAGGACTACAAGTGTACATCACCACGGCTGCTTAATTTTTCTTCTATTTTGTACAGATGAGGTCTTGCTATGTTGTTCTGGCTGGTCTCAAATTCCTGGCCTCAGGCAATCCTTCTGCCTCAGCTTCCCGAAGTGATAGAAATACAGGTGTGAGCCATTGCAGGCAATCTCCTTTTTCTAATTAAGCTTAATTTTTAAAAGTATTACATTAAAAATACTAGTTCTTATTTTCGTGGATTTTAAAGATTATTAATATTGCAATAATATTTGTTTATAGTGTTTTGGTATAGGCATTTACAATTTTGGCTAAACTCAGTATTTCACAGATGTCCATGGACAAGACTGAAAACTGAATAAACGGCTCAGCGCCTGTGGCTCAAGTGGCTAAGGCGCCAGCCACATGCACCTAAGGTGGCGGGTTCGAATCTAGCCCGGGCC